AGTACAAACTATTTCTATTTCAAATAAATGCTGTTCTTTTGTACTTTCAGTTGATCAAATAATCCTGAAAAAAAGTATTACAGTTTCTACAAAAATATTAAGCAGCACAACAGTTTGCAAAATTGATAATGATAAGAAATGTTTCTTGAACACCAATCAGCACATTAGAATGATTTCTGAAGGATTATGGATGGAACAGTGAAGACAGGCATAATGACTGCAGAAAATTTAGCTTTGCCATCACAGGAATAAATTACATTTTACTATATATTAAAATAGAAAAGAGCTATTCTAAATTGTAATAATATGTCATAATTTTTCAGCTTTTAGTGTACTTTTTTCTGAAATAAATGCAGCATTGGTAAGCATAAAAGACAATGAAAAATCATACAGACCCCAAACTTTGAAAGGTAGTGTAAGTATGGGTGAAAAACCGGATACATTCTTTAATGTGATATTTGTACATTTTTGTGTATATTTGCACATGTAGGATCCGTTAACAGTCACTATTGAAAGTATTCAGGGATGTTTAACCTCATGATGGTAAAAAGATGTAATTCAGAAGACAAGCATTCGAGTATAAAACCCAGAAAAAAGAAATGCATGCACACTCAAATGCACAAACAAGTAAACAAAGTCTTGTACCCAGTATGATGCCGTTGGGCTGGGAAGGTGGCTGCCAGATGAGTCTGACCGAGGTGGTCCGGACTTCAGGAAAAAGAATGACGACAGGCGGCCCGGGCACTGAAAAAAGAACATCATGAACTTTTAAAGACACATCTGATTATTTAATAAGGCAACAATTTATTTGTTGTGTACTGTCATGCTCACCGTCATCAAGGGTTCGCTCCAGGATTGAAGGAGAGCTGGGTCGGCCGTCTCCAATGCGGGTGAAGGCGAGCACCTGGATCTCATACAGAACATACTTGCCTAGTCCGGTTAGCTGAGCACTGTGACTGGCGTTCCCTTCCTCTGCCCAGAACTGTAGAGGAGAGTCTGAATCCTTCTCCTTATACACCACCTGAAATTGAAAAAGAGACTGTATCAACCTTATTTTGCGTTGTGGAAATAAGCTATTTTCTTTGAATGTGCGAGACTTCCGCTTCATTAGGTGAATAACTAAACGAATAACAAGGTTCAGTAATGCTACAAACCAGTCTGATGATTAGGATAAGAAGTTAAAATAATATGATAACAAAATATCAGTTTGCAATATAAGCAGTTTTAGTACAGGTAAAATATCTGAAGCAAATGTCAACGAAAGCCTTGAACATTAAAGTTACAAATGACCGCAGCTTATAGTTTTAATGAATGGTGTTTTTTTTTTTTTACTTGAAAGTGCTCACAGACCTTATAGCCCAAGATGAGTCCATTCCGGTCGGGTTCGGGAACTTCAAACCAGCGGACCAGAATGCTGCTGGAGGTAGTGGCAAATGCAGAAACATTTGTGGGGCCACAAGAGGGGACTGCATTAAAACAAAGGAAGATAGAAGGGTTCATACAGATGAATGTGTTGGTTAAAGGCATATAAGGCTAAATTAGCCTTTCTGAATACGTCTATGCATTCCAAGTCCTTAATGGGGTTGAAATATGTGCCTTATTTATATATGTGTGTGTGTGTGTGTGTGTCGGGGGTGGGGGGGATTAAGTGTGTGCTGATAGCCGGACACATATCACAAAGGCATTGGGGCCTGAAAGACACCAGATTTTGACCATTATTGCGGGAGTAACACAGAGAATCACTCTCCGGCACAAATCCCCGGACACAGAGTGCATGATTGCAGGAATCTGATTGGCTAAAGAAACAACAGGGGAGTCATGTGTACAGCCCCATGTGTTACCAATTTCCTTAACACCCACTTATTAATCCCAAACCCGTTTCCCTGAATTCTGGTAACCATGGAGAAGAAGCTGAGCAGAAGGAGAAAAACAGGTGATCCAGAGGAAGTCGGCTTTGCTTCTTTTTCATGGGATAGGAGGAATGAAAAGCTTTGCATGTTCAGAATGTGCAGATATGTGCCCATTTAAGCCTGTTTAAACAGGAAATCCTGTGCCCACGTACTATATATGATAAATTATTTAAACATGCATTAACCTCAACATGTGATCAATGTAAATTTTTTCCATTCCATATTATAAAATAGACAGTTCCGACTCCAAAATCTGACGTTTGAAGCTATAAAATAGCCAATATATCAGTGTTAATTTAGTATTATTTATATGCTATTGCAGTATTCATTAATATTTTTAATTATATATTGAACTTTATTTTTAAATTTTTAGTTTTCATTTTAATTTTAGTTTTAATAATTTGTTATGTGCTATTTAGATAGAAAAAGTTTGAGTTAAGCACATCAGCTTACATTTATTTCAATTTTATATTTATTTTTATATCTAATATTTTTTAATTACTGAACTGTGTGACTTGTGCAAGTTTTTTTATTGCAATTCAATACTTTATTACTTACATTATGAGACCAAACATGCCTATTGTTTACTACTACTACTACTACTACTACTAATAATTTATTTATGTTTATAATTTATGTCCTTATTAAAAGACAGTAAACAAATCTGTTTGTATATATTAAATCTAATAAATACATACATACATACAAAATGACTGGTTTGTCCTTACCGGACTCTCTGGTTCTTCCCCGTACAGGTTGACTCCAGGGTCCTGCTCCAATGCCGTTGATGGCCTGAACTCTGACCTCATACTCCGTCCACTCCTCCAGGTCCTCGATGGTGAACTCTCTCTCCAGGCGGTCTGCGATGACGTGCAGCAGGGCTTTGGACTGAGCTCCAGTCCTGCAGTACTGCACACGGTAACCCACCGAATCTGGGTTCCCATTGTACTCCCATTCAGGTAGAGGCTGATCAACAGGCGAAAAAAAGAGAGAGATTGAGTTTGTGCCACAGTCTCAATGCGACACACTGTATGCGCCTATTTCTTTGATTCTAGAACATACCACCCATCTGAGCCAGAGGCTGGTTTCGCTGGCCGTCCGCAGGGTGACATTTGCAGGGGCCATATCAGGAGGAGCCTGCAGGGTCTGGATCTTTCTGGAAGGCTGGCTGGGAGGACTGGTGCCCACTATGTTCACCTGACGCATACGGAACCTGCAAATCCCATTATACACGTATCTCAATGGCCTGCTTTACATTAACATCCGCCTTGTGTGATCTAATAATAAGCAGTGTTGTTATTGTTAACTAAAACTAAATGTAAAACTATTCAAAATAATTTTAAGTAAAGGAAATAAAGCTAAAATAAAATATAACATTTAAAAATTGAATTAATATAAACATTAGATTAAAATCCTAAACTTAAAAAATCTTAAATGAAAATTAGAAAGGTTGCCTTGTCAACTAACCGAAATAAATAGATACTAACAAAGGAAATAAATTACCAAATACTCATTTAATACTGAAATATGTATTTATTCATTAGTGAAATAAATTAATACTAAAATCACAAAAACTTAAATAAAAATGAATTAAATCTACATAGAAATACTATATAAAAGTACAATAAAAATGATAAAAACCCATGACAAAATTAATAAAACTTAAATGTAAATGAAATCTGAAAAAACAAAAACAAATATATATATATATATATATATATATATATATATATATATATGTGTGTGTGTGTGTGTGTGTGTGTAATTTAATTTTTGCTTAAGTTTCATTTTTCATCTAATATTTATATTTTATTCAATTTTATTTCAACATTATTTCAATTAAATAAATAAGCTACAGAAATTTTGCCTTGTCAACTTGCTGCAATTAATAAGTTTAATATTAAGTACTAAAATCACTAAAACTATATAGAAAAGCTGTACAGAAATATAAAAAAATAAATAATTGAAAAAACAAATGACAAATTTACTAAATATATATATAAATAATACTAAAATAGCATAAGTCGTCAAGCGAGACAATCACTGCTCAAATGTGTCTCCTCTGACCACTTATGATTTAATTTCAAGGAGACCTGTCAGACAGGAACTAACTCTTCTTTCACACCCTCGAGGCCTTATTTAAAAATCTATTAATGTAAGAAATAAATAAATGTACGTGTCACCTATAAAAGGTGTAGGGGTTGAGGCCGGAGACCTCCAGAGAGCGAGCATCAGGCTTGTTGGCCAGCTGATGGACCATCACCCAATCCTCGTTCTCTCCAATGACACCCACCTGACAGAGATCCATGCAAAAGAGAGATTCATGCAAAGATCAAATCGAGAATGTTACAACGTCACCCCCATGAATAAAGAGTGACTGACCTGAGCCTCCACTTGCCAACGAGAAATTGAGGTCTTGCCGTCGTATCCCGGCTTGAACTGTAAGGTTACTGATCGAGGGCCAATGTTTGAGATGGCCAAGTTTGTGGGAGGCCCGGGAAGCTCTGTATCGGGAGAGAGAAAAGTGTATTTTAGTTCACAAACCATCAATCTTTTAATGAGTTTTATTTAGTTCTGAATATAATTTTGCAAAAAAATCCTGAGTAGAAGAGATGGTTTCAGGACTCAAACATTAAAGAAATGTTGAATTGTGAAAATGTTTAGCTGTGTTATGGCGCCCTCTTTTGGTAAGATGAGACTTTGTATACAGAGAAATAAATAAAAAATAAATGACAATTTTCACCTGTGAAAGTTTCTTATTTCTTCGGAATTAAAATGTTGGCAGTTTTTTACATCTAGAGGCTGCACAATGTTGTGGCATCTTGGAAAACTGATTTTTTGATTTTTACTGTGAGTTACGACACATTAATCGTTCCAAAATGTCCCGAGCTCTCAAATATGGCAACTACTTATAAATATCTATGGTTTTCACAACGCAACCATAGCAAGCAGAGTTGAATGTCTGCGTGAAATGAATGAGAACTGTGGTATAAATCATTCCACACTCACAGCTGCTACCCAGCTTATTATCAGAAGATGAAATATGCCTCCAGTAAAACACTGTGGGTAACATGGTGCGACACTATGACCGTTCAGGATTCATACATCTTTAAACGTCTGCATTTACTTTTAAATGAGTGCAGCTCGTGGTTTGGTTTGAGTCTGGAAGGCATAGACGGTCTAATGAAGCAATAAAAGAGAAACGATCTGTCGTGGGAGTCGTAATCATGAACTCCACGCAGCCAGGGCCTCCTCCTGTCAGTTATTCTGTGGCTCTGGGCTGCATGTGCTGGTGCTGCATCGGTTCAATAATGAGAGCTCGGATATTTAACTTTATAACCCTCTGCAGTCCTTTTAACGGAGCTCTAAAACCAGTGGTGGTCTAAAGCTGGTTCAGGGGAACTCATGGAAAGAGTATGTGTTTTCTCTTCTCCTATTAAGACTTTTCAGACCATGTTTAGCCTTTTCTGATCTGGTTTTAATGTACAATTTGCCATAACTGTTTTGACTGGTTTGTGCGTGCATTACTTTACCTGGTGGTACTCCTGAAGAGATGGTTGAAGATGACAGCTGACCCTGACCCTTGGAGGTCATTCCGGCCACCTCAATGGTGTAAGTGGTGAGAGCGGTCAATCCAGTGACTCTGTATTCCAGAGTAACATTAGGCAGGTAGTGTGTAACCCGCGTGTTAGTACGGTTATACTCCTCCCATGATATACGATACCCTAGGAAACAAATATTATATTATATTATATTATATTTAATATAAATTATATGAAATTAATATAAATACACAAAATATATTGTATATTAATTCCAGAGAAAGTGAATTAAACTACAGGTCTAGTCTAGGAATTGAAGATTAATAATTATTTTAAAATTTAAATTAATTTAAATAAAAAAAAAAATAAATAAATAAATAAATAAAATGTAATATGTATTAATTAAATACATATACAATATAAGAAAAAAAACCTAGTAAATAAATAAACATTAAATATTATATGTAAGGTTAATACATGATGTTCAGGTCCTCTAATTGTAAAAAAAAAAAAAAAAAAAAAAAAAAAAAAA